GTTGAAATGGTGCTCCAGAAACCTCATAGTACTACATGCGTACCAAGAAATTCTTATTTGCTGTTTGCTGTTTTTTAGTGATACCCACGGCGTTAGATAAAGTTGACGCTGGCCCAGATGCATGGCGCTTAGCTACTTCAAGCACAGGAGTTCTTTTTGCGGCACCCAGTAGAAAGTCACGTCTGTTTCTTTGCTGCAGCTCAAGCAGCATCAAGCTACCATTCGGCCATCAGGCAACATCCCATGCATGGGGCATTTTGTTGAACTTTCCGTCACAGCGAATTTTGTGAGCATGCAAAGCATATATGCAGCAGTACGTGATGCTAAAACTACCACAGATGCGAACGTGCAAGTGAAGCGCAGTTCAGCAAAAACGAATCTTTTGAACCACTCCTGTTGTTCTCAATGGTAATGCCAAGCAGTTCTTTTTTCCGTGAATCAAATGGAAATAAGGCAAACAGCATTTTATCGCATGTTGTAAGGCTTGACAGGTTTTTCTTTTTTGCTTATTTTTTTCTTTTGTTGCAATGGGTTTGATTACCAGTGATTCTAGGATATCTTTACTGGGTTGGCACCCACGACAAGTGAGTTCCTCCAGGGGGTGCAGGGAGGCGAAGGACATATGCCTTGTGTTTCGACTATGCTTGCGCTTGGGGGGAAGGGGGCAAACGGGGCGGTGCAAGCGAAAGTTTTGGGGGGCTCCACCTGTCCATACCTCCACTGGTGACTCTCCTGAGCATTTCATACCTCAATCATTTTCTGGTGGTAGCGAAGACATTGCTGCTATTAGTGTACAACTTGCTTTGCTTATTTTACCAGGTTGGAAACTTTTGAAGAATCTTTGATTAAGGTGACATATTAGGTGATAGTTAGACTGTCTATTTCCTGAATGTTCAATGTGTTTTTTTTTTCTTTCTTCTTGTGCAGGTTGTAGCTTCATCCAAAGTGTATGTATTTGATGTCCAGAAAATGAAGAAAGATCTGTTTGACCATGGATTGAAGGAAATATTTGAGTCTGATGGCATCGAAAAGGTGAAGCCACTGCCTGTTAGCACCTGTTAATATAGTTGTTTGCCCAACACTGATTCGATAAGAGAAAAGAATATTGTCACCCACTAGACAGAAGCAAGAAAAATGCCAGGCCCCGTAGAGTGCACAGCACAGTCACAGCCAAAGTTCAAAGAGCAGCCCTTCTACAGTGTCCTTTAAGCATTCTTGGGGCAACTACCCGAAGCACGCTTGCATGGTACCCACTACGCCATAAAATCATAATTTTTCTGTAGTAGGGAAGCTTCCACTATGCCATTATTTGTCATTCTCGAAGAAGTGTGGTACCGGCTACACGTTTGTAAGGCATTATATTGCACTTTGTTGAAGCTGTGGCTGATGACGATAAGAATGCGCCTGAGCATACCTGCCAACTCTTCTGCATTTCTCGTAAAATTACAAGTTTCAACCACTGTTACGATTTCACGAATCTTACCTCGAATTTTATGAAAATATTTTATTTACAATAAAAAAAGTTGAAAAATCTATGAAAACAGCCTGGCCTTCACGATCAGCTTCGGTGCATGGCCAAAGTGAGTCACAGAGGCCACGAAAACGGTGTTATGGTGTTTTTTTTTTCTTCTTTGACTATATGTGCCTTGCTTCCTTTTTGTTATTCTAGATTATCCATGGTTGCCAAAACCTCTCAGATTGCCTTCACCATCACTACCAAGTTGGCCTCAACAATGTGTTGACACAATGGCAAGTCATCAGTACGCCTTCTTCTCTGTTTAAATGATGATATGAGTCATCAGTGTTTAATCTGAAAGCATCATAGCTGTGAGAACTGGGGAGAAGGAGGAAGGGAGAGGAGCTAAGGATACCATCTTAACTTGTTTGAGATGGAATCTTTAGCCTATACGTTAGAATCCCAGCAAATGGAGCTCCTATTAAGTGGAACACATGTTACTGGTCCTTTCAGAGTGTACTGTATACAGTGAAAAGGGTATGTGGTGCTTGTTAATCAGTGCTACACTATAAGGTGTCATTGCTTCGGCATGAGAGTGACGATAGATGAGGTCTTGTGGAGTCTGATTTGGCGGTTTGCGGCCAGCATCTTTATTCTCTTCTAACGTTTTTATTTTGCGACTGCCTGATACTTATCTACTTGTAGTGAAGACATATGAGAAGAAGGCTGTAGTGTTGACATAAAAAAACAACAACAGCTTTATTGTTTAAGGGCTCACACCACTCTACATGCATGTTGCCACAAACTAAAGAGCTCTAGTCAAGCGCATGTTGACGAGAGTACACATGTTGCGCTTTCATGAGTCCAGTGAACACATTCAACGGGCGAATGTCATAGGTGTGAGTGTCATTACTGTGCCCGCCTAGCAGCAACAAAGTGACATTAAGGTCATTAGCAGCAAATGTATTACATGTGCCGTGTGACAATGGTATTAGCTTAACACAGAGATGATGATCTTTTGTTTATTGTTTGTTGTTTTCCTGTGAGTTCTCAGCACAGATTATTCACACCTTTTAGAAGTCACCCATGCATGACTTTAGCGTTTCGCATTTTTGTGGTCTTGTGCTTATGGTTCTCTTGCACATTTCTGCATTTAACCAATGAAAGCTCTGAATCTTTTAATCATTGATTTGTAAAAAGTGGATTCTGATGACTCGCTTCTGCTTCCAGGTGGCTGACGTGATGATTTACTTCAACAAGGGGCTGGAAGCTGGTGATTTCCAATTTCCAAAATATGTACGTGGCGTCCAGAGCTGCCTTAAGACCTCCTGAACATGTCGTACGATCAGCTGAAGTACACACGATCAAGGCAGGGCAGTAAGGAGGTATGTACATAGTACATAGTGTTCATTTAAAGGTGCAAGGGTGTTCTAGAGGAACATTTTGCATTCGGAAAGTGTAGGATGTCTAATTAGTAGAACAGTATCTGTGGCATTACACTAACACTAAAGTATGGGTGTAATGTTTTAAAGGGGTCCTGCAACACTTTTCCAGCAGGGTCAGAAAATGGTGCTTATTGGTAGTCGAGGTTCCTGAGACACGCGAGTCAAACGTTGAAGTGCAGCACATAGCCTGTAACTTACAATTAATTTTCAACGTCAGCTAGATATTGCTTCCTCTTTTTTTGACAAAAGATACTCATTGCTCAAATGACAGGCCATAATCCCATTGGCTCATGTGAGTATCATGAGCCTCATGGCTACCGCAGCTTGGTTTGCTAAATCGAGTGAGTGGGGAAGAAGCAAAAAGTTTGAAAGACTAGTCATAAAGCAGTCGACCAGACCTAAGGGCATCAAGAGTAGCTAAAAAAAAAAAAACACGCGTGTATGAAAACAACTGCAATGTTATCATTGAAATAACTAAATGAAAGAGGCTTCTGGCCCACATCTAAGTAGGTACAGTGAAGTCTTGATACAATGAATCTTAAGCGACTGCTGAAAATTATTCATTATTTTGAAAAGTTGTCATTGTGAAATGAATAAAAATTCACTTAAAAATTGTAAATGCAAACACATGAGTCGCCTGCCTCTGCTATGTATAAATTCACAACCGCGTTTAGCTCACATGTATGCTTCGTCGTTGCACTGTGCATGATGTTCCAGCTTTATACGCAGTTTCAGATCTCTTAGCACTGTGGAGGCTACAGGGCCAATAGAGAGGGCAATTAGCCCTTACACATGTATTCATTTTCACCGTGTTGTTCACTCACCGTCTTCGCGGCGTCTGCTGGCTGAGCTGTCTATAGACAATCATTGCAGTTAACATGGCTAGTTTATTAACATAAAAACACAGTACAACTGCGAAAAAAGAAACTACACCATGCCACCAACTTGCCTCCTTAAAAGAAATTTGATAACTTAGTGATGTAACGGTGCAGAGACTCACTCGACGTCATTTGTCAGGATACACACGTGTCAAGTCGGTGGCTTGGTTAAATAATAAAAACAGGTATAATTGTTTGAATTTAGCCAAAACTGTATTAGAATTTCAACGCTCAACTCGTTATATGGGAAACATGGGTCGTCGCTGTTTCTGTTTGACGTTGTTTGTGGCTCTCGTGTGAATGCTTCTCGATTCACACATTCCTTTGTATCTTTCGCTGCACGTTTCTTATCTCTCTGTATTGTTTCTGCCAAAGGAGGTACTGATGCCTATGGAACGCTGTGCGAAGTTGCATGTTCAATATTTGCAGTTGCAGCGTTCTTGGTCTGGCGACGCAGCCTGAGCAGTGCCTCTGTGGCCTTGGCTTAGCATTTGCAGCTAAGCAAGCAGCATATTTCACTGATAAGGACATAACATACCTGATGCTTTATCCCCCGAGTAAAATAAAACCAATCGATGGCTGGCTTCATTAAATTATTGCTGCAAGTGCAGTAAGCATGTAGCAAGACAATTGAAGTGGGCAGTCACTTCTGCTTCTGCATGGGTGCTGCCATGTTGATTTGTAACCGTAGTTAGCGGCGGTAACCAACACAAATAATTAATTGCATATGAAATAAATGTGAAGAATAACGACATCACGTATCGATGTGGCATAATACACACCAAATGCCAATTTCAGCCAACTCTTTCAATTTTAAGGCACTTATATCTGGGGCTATGTTTTGCTGTGCTAGCACGTGGCTTTCTTACACCTCGTAGCTTTGGTAGTACTGAACAACAGTGGTGAAACAGAGTACAGTGAAGCATGTGCGGGTCATCTTGGGCGACTTGATCCCGTAGTTCACTCGCGTCGCATTTTTCACTGTCATAGCATTCCTTTTGTGCTGCTTTCAGAGCTCCTCTTGAACGTTCAACCACCAACCAGAAGGCTAGAAAACACTTTTAAATTTTGGAGGAGGCACCCAGCCCATCTTGATAGTAAAGGGACACCGAAGAGAAAAGCCATTTATCTTGTAATAGAAAACCACCATTTGCAAATAAGAAAAGTGCCGCTGTTTTCATGAAACAAAGCTTTGTAAATGAGAAAATGCATAGAAAAGAAATAAATTACACCATCTCCCACTAAAGGGAACCATGTGGGGATGCGAAGCAGTGCTGGTGTTCACTTGTGCTTCCATTTGTATGTTTCCGTGTGTGTTTCATTTGTGTGTGCAGTTGTGTACATGTTGTGTACCGCTTATGTTACGCCCCTCCAATTTGTATGTACTACCGTGTGTGTGCTGCAAAATGAACACCCAGTGCCTTTGGGAGAGTGCAACGTAGCGAGCGTGCACTGCATTACATGCGAGCGCACAGCTGTGGCAGAGATATAAATGGGAGAGGAGGAACAAGGTGGATGCAAGGCACCTCCTTTCCTATTTGTGTGTACTACCGTGTGTGTGCTGCAAAGTGAACACCCAGCGCTGCTAGGAGAGTGCAACAGAATGCACGCGCGCAGCATTATATATAAATGCACAGCTGTGGCGAAGAATAGAAATAAAGCCGAGGCAGCGCTCTGCCACCTCCTCGTGGTCACACTAAGAGAGAGGGAGAGTTGGCGTATGCGCAGTGGGGGAGCGGATGGTTCCCGGCCCATATGGGTAGTCCCTCGTCTTGCCCGACCGGCAACCCAAACGAGAGGGCTCACCAGCTAGCGCGTGAACTAGCTACCCGTGGCGGTGAGTGGCCCTTTCAGAGGAATAGTGGACGGGGATGCATAGACTTCAAGGATCTATTGATTACATTTCTGTACCAGATCACCACAGCTCATAAACTAGGGCGCAGAGGTTTCTCTCTTCCGCGTCCTAAATTGAATAAAAAATAAGCAATTACATTTGGGCAACTACAGATGCAAACGTACATCACACCAACCATACTGCACAGGCTTGGCCCAAATATCTCACCCCACTGCCCGCACCGTCATCACAAGTACTGTAATTTTGAACACATGCTCTGGTTGTGCCCCTTTAACTCGTGATCAGAACTACCAGACCGAAACTTTTGGGAGGCTTCCACGGGCAGGCACTAAACTTTATAACCAACTCCTAGCCGTCCAGAGGGCCTGGGACATCGCCGAGAGACTCCACCTCCCGCCACCATCCTGGGCGGAGCCACCTGGCAGAGCTAGCAGGGCCTCTGGTCCGTTTAGTCTCCGTCGACTTTGGACATATATAAATTCTCACTCACTCACTCACTCACTCACTCACTCACGGTCGCCGAGGGATGGACACAGCCTCGAGGAAAAGCTGCTTAGCATCTAAAGAAATAAAGTCATGCCTTAAGGCTCCTGCGCAGACTCACTAAAACGCATGTTCTGACAGGGTTTGCTAAGGCCTACACAATTGTTTATTGCTAAAAAATCGGGGTATACTCACAAAACTAATGGTGATCAGTGGGCCAAGCAGTGGGATCGCTCAAGTCACCCATGACATTGACCACTCGCACATGTAAATGAGTGACAAAGGGGTGTACAGTTATATAAAATGTTTATTGGTCATAACCGGTATGTTGTGTTGAGTTCTGAATTTCGTTTGGCCTTCATTATTACTGCTTTCTGTTATCGGACCTAGCCTTAACTTGGCAAAGACAAGGTCAGAGCACGTTTCCCTGGTGGTTGTTTCAAGTCATACGAAATGTATCGAAAAGCATATCGAGGTGTCGTATACTGCACAAGCCAGTCTGTGGTCATCATTGTCATCGCCATCATGGTTGTCATGGCATGTGGTGGGTACTTTGCACATAGTGTGCATGATTGCGTAAAGAAAATGTGTGGTCTAGAATGTGCTTGTTCTTCATCAGCGTCTTTGTCATCGAGGGGCGGCAGCGACGTTGCTCGACCCTAAGGAGCTTCGCCCATAAAATCAAATATATTGTTTTGTAAGAAACGCAAAGATGTAATATAGCAACCTTCAGGAAATTTTATTCGGCCACTGTGGCAAAAGCACGAATAAAGAATGATATCCGCAGGGTCACACTGGCATTCAGTTGCTGAGATTTTGGTGTGAAATACAGAAACGAAGCTTTGACCTCTAGTTTCTTTTCAGGTAATGAATGTATGTAAGTGAAATTAGCAACAGTAGCATTCTGAGATGAATTAATTTTATCAGAGTAAACTGATTCAGTGTGCCATTCGATAACGCCATGACCACATAGTGCGGTAATACCCGAACTCAAATGACGATTTGGTCTGTTCTGTGAATCCAGTTTAGCCAGCATACACAGTTTCCACGCTTGCACATTTGTTATTTGCAATATTTCATGTTTGCCTGCATCCTTAGAACAGCGCTGTTGTTAAAACGAGAGACTAGTTTACATGCCGATTTTTTCTGTAAAATGCACACTGTGTTCAGGATCAAGCCTGCACCTGGGAACAGCGACCACTCTCCCTGCGCCAGATTGATGCGTTGGTGAAGGATGTTGTGTACCTTGGAGAGCTTGCACATGTGTGCCTCAAGAAGATGCTGCAAAAGTTCCGCATGGGTGTGGAGTTCTTTCTTGGCCTGTATCGAGACTGCAGTGAAGAGGAACTGCAATGCTTGCCCCCGGTACGTTATCTACGGGAAATCACGTTGGAGCCTATTGTCTGTCTGCACATTTGCAGTTAGCTCAGTTATCGCGTTTGCTCTCGCAATGATCCACCTCTGAATTGTGTCAGTTAGCAATTTTCTCAAGCAGCAAATTGATTGCACCTTGATCTTAATCATTGTGGCAATAGCAGTGTCGACGCCACATTTGCCTTGCATTAGAAAGGGGGCCACCACAACCTGTGCTTAGACTTCTTTTGTGCTGTTTTGGCACAAATGGTAGTGACAATACTGCCATTAAAAGCTACTCGGTATGTGCCTGAGCATTATGCTAGTAAGTATGTTAGTCATTGTTTGTACAGCCACCTCCTTGTAAGCACGGCCTTAACTAAACATGACCTGATAACCAGGTGTCATAAGTTTTTTGTGGTGTCTCTATGCTGCTTTGTAAGGTTCAATGATGCACAATCTTCAACTGCAGATTTATATTCTTTGTACACAGGATCACATTTTGCCCACGGGCTTCAGGGATGCCCTCATGCTTAGTGCCATGCACGCGGCACCATACAGGACTTGGAGAAGCTATAATGAGGGCTGCTACAGAGAACATGGACATCTTGCCAGAAGGGGTGAGCGGGATGGCCTTCTTTTTCTTGTCTTTGTCGTATGCCACTGATGCATGTGTGTATAGGTGAGGCCGGTGCCTCTTCTATTTTTTCAGTGCCCGGGCAAAAGAGCGGATTTCAATGAGAATAAGTCGCCAATGCTAGTGGGGCGTTTCGCCGCCAGGCGCCGCAACTAGAGTAGAGATGCCGCCGTGTCGTCTCTCACGCAAACGAATGTCGCGGCTGTATTCTAGGCTGCTATACGGCTCGGTTTTCGGCTGTATTCACATTGTTAAAGATGTAATGGAAACTTCGAAATAGGAATCATGAAGTACTTGTCCTGGACACCCAGCTCATTGCAAAGACGTCTGTAGTTCGCGACTACGTGACCGAGGCGCTCGCGCGTTGTTTGCTAGGCCGGTACCACATAGCTGATGCGAGTAACCTGCGGAAGGTCGTTTTGTCAACGTGGCGTTTGCTTTACTGAGAGTTGCTTTTTCGACTAACTGAAAGTCTATTTTTGATAGAAGCAATTGCCAGGAGCTAAAATTAGAAGCTTGGGTGCCTAATGTTCCCCGATGCTTTCTACTCTCTAGTGGCATAGCACATTATGCGCAAGCTTGGAGTTCATGCACTAAGCAGGACAAAATGCCACTAGATTGCTTCCAGAGATATAGGTCATCATCCGTTCCCTTCGCAAAGCATTACATGTGTTGCCTTTAAGAAAAAGCAAGTGTCAGAAATTGAGGAACTGTGGCCGGTGATTTCACCATTTGAGAGCTTAAACAATAAAATCATTGCAAAGTAAACAAGAACAGCTTCATATGCGACGCGATTTCTGCGATCATTGCCTATGTTTTGAACAGGCGCTATTAAAGTCTGAAGTCTAATGTTGACTCTCAACCTGAGCCAAGGTGACAGGCATGAAAAACGGGGCCTGTGTCAGTTGCTTGAGTTTGTCTGTGTATTCGTAGACGGCTTGTTGTAGCCTTAATGTCCGGCTGCTCAGCTCTGTTTCTTTCTTCTTCCCTTTGGTCTCTTAATTCGGTAGTGAGCAGAGTAGAGCCGAAGGGCTGTGTGGTGCCCATGGGCTCCCATTCAGCTTCGGGGCATAATGTTAGCGTTGCACACAGCAGTGATCGCAAGGCAGCGTTGTTACTGACAGACTCATTATGTTGACTGTTCGGATGCACAGAGTCCCGTTTAGTGATACCGATCGCCATGTATGTTGCCAAACGTGACAGGTAGTCTTCAGTCACTTTTAATCTATAAAATACTCTGGTTGTAAATGACGGCTACATATTAGAGTGTAGTACGAAGATTTATTAGGAGACCAATTTTTCTGCCTGCAAGCACGCTCTCTCCGAACGCCAGCGGAAGCTGCAATTTCACAGAGCTGCAGTGCATTAAGGCGATAGCTTTAAATGCTTCATCAAAAGCGAAAATAGATCGCCGGTGGCGTCCAGCGTCTTCTCGCGTCGGCGGTGTGAACACGAGTGAGAAATCATCATAACACGAAGACGTCATTATATGATGGTACATATTATAAATGTTTGTGATGTATTGGAAGGTCACATAACTTGACGGCATCATTCAACATCTTCGCTTGGTTGAAATTGGCCGAAATGAAGGCAGTGCATAACCAGCTGAAGGGCAGAAAGCTAGCTTTGTCTCCAATCCTCGAGGCCATAAAACCATATTGGGCGCAGAAATATCCTGTAGGGAAGGAGGAAACATTCAGTGCATTGAATCGGAAGAAAACGAGGATAGTTTCTGCCTTTCAGTCGTCTCAGGTGAATCCATAAGAGGACCGGCGTTTTTTTTTTTAACTAATGAGAAATGAAAAATTACAACCTGATTTCTTTCAGTCAGATATGCAGAGCAGTACAAAGCAATAATATATATTGAGGCATTGAAATAGTGAGGTTCCAATAGATTGAAAGAGAAAATGAAACGCGAATGCTATAAATCTTGAACGCATATATCGAACCGGTAGCACAGCCTGACAGAGCCAGGTGAAAACAGTGCGCCGCTATGTTCGTGTTAGTTTTCATCCTTCGTGTATCTGTGAAAGCCATCAGAAAGCACAACTGCAAATTAAGCAGAATCGCGAGTTGGGCGAGTTGGTGGATGTTCATCGTGAACCCGTTGCGCTGTAAAATATTCCACGATGCAAATTAACTAGCATGAAAACGCGAATTCGCGAGCTTCGTAATACGTGCGGCCGTTCAGCGCCAGCATCCCGCAGTCTACTCACGCAGCGCCATCATGTGGCAGCGGAGGCGGAGCGCGTGCTCAACGGCCTGAAGAGAGCGTTCGTTCGGGCACTGAAAAAATAGAGGAGGCACTGATAAGGCGTAAACCCACAAAGGCTCATGAGGTGCGCCTTCTGCATAAATTCCTTGTTCGAGATATCCGTGGCGTGCTGTCTCGCTGGCCGCATTTTTGGAGCTGTAGACACGTTTTTTCTTTCGATTGTGTTGCAGTCTAATCGCTCGCACAATCATGGCTGGTTGTGCAGCTGTCGGTTGCTGTAGTTTGAGCACCAAAGGGAAAATGATGTTCACATTCTCTTGATACGAAGATAAAAAACTTAAGTGGCTTTTGTGACAATAACGAGAGCCACGGTGAGTAATATAGCCTTTGGATGCCTAGCATCGGGTGGAGTGACATTTGTTCCAAATGTTGCACGGATGGTTTCGTTTGTATGACACATTTGGTACTCACGCACAGGAACTTTCAGCAAAGATCCACAGCAGGTAACTACGTGCCGTCGATATTTTGACACCACAAAGGAGGAACTGAGGCATCAAGATGGAATCACGAAAGCATAGGCATTTGGATGTGTAGTTTTTCATCAACACAACCACAATATCTACGCAGCTACGATAAGCATACGGCATTTACGCTAAAATGCATGGCCGCCGCACAATGTGCAGCCAACAGCAGCACAAAATCAGGCCAATGGTTACAATGCAGAATACACGGACACAGTATTTGTTAATGACATCAACTGCAGCGATGTCTACACAATCAGCCAGTGGTTCTGTAGGCGACTGACCTCGCAACGGTGGGAGAAAATGATGTGTCAGTAATGCTACATACACAAGAAAAGGCGCCCCACTATTCTAGCTCATAGAACAGGTCTGCAATGTGTTGCTGGTAACTTCAAGTGTTCCTTCAAGCATTTCTTTCATAGTAGTTGACTTATTCATACCTGGTCTGGTGCACCAGTGAGCAGAACAGGTAACTACGCATCATAAACACAGCGCCCGACTATGAAGTTAGCGTGGTCTCAGCCAGCCAGTTCAACAACGCGACGCAATACGTAAATGCCAAACCAGCTTAACTTTGCTTAAAAAAAAAAAGCACCAACAGGTTTTCCTTGGAAAGCTTTTTCAGCACTGCATTCTCGTTGAGGTCATTCACGAATGAACGATTGAACGTTTTGCCATGCTGTCGCCGCTGTATGCAGAGTTTTAGTAGCATAGGATACCCCTTGCACACGGTGAACATTGATACAAGCTACTGAATACCCGACAATCTGAGACAGCGACAGAGCGTGCTACTACTAATGCAAGAACGGCTGAGCGCCCTCACAGAAGGAAACACGTAAAAATAAGCACATTAGTGTGTGGCCTGCCTTAATATGTAAGTGTAAATTAGTTGAAAGACGTGACAATCAAGGGCACAGTCAGTTGGTTGCCTCTTCAAATGATAAAATTGTTTGGTAATGACAGCTCATACTTCCCTTTCGTGGTCAGTCGTGGATGCGACCATGCTACGTGTGCTAGAAATTTGCAGCGTATGCATTGGGTTGCCATGAAGAAAGCGAGCAACACCGCTACCCAAGGAGTGACGCAGCAGACGGGAGAGTTGTTGAACTGGAAGCCGGTGCAGATGGCGTGCATTCCATGTGCCTTCGGGAGTTTACACCTCACCTTTTGCAAATTGGTTCTGCGAAATCCTGCGAGGTGCTGGCAATATTAAGGAAGCCGCGGTGGTCTAGGTGGCTAAGGGACTTGGCTGCTGACCCGCAGGTTGCGGGATTGAAACCCGGCTGTGGCGGCTGCATTTTCGATGGGAGGCGAGAGTGCTGTAGGCCCGTGTGCTCAGATTTGGGTGCACGTTAAAGAACCCCTGGTGGTCGAAATTTCCGGAGCCCTCCACTATGGCGTTTCTCATATTCATATGGTGGTTTCGGGACGTTAAACCTGAGGTTTAACGTCCTATATCAATCAATCAATCATTATTAAGGAAGGGAAGTCATTGACTGCCCATTCGTAGCACAAAGCCATGAGGCAAACTGTATAGATTTCCTTGCAACTTCTTGCTGCAAACAAGTGGTCGTCAATTCCTCTTCGTTAATGTGCGTATATTGTTCATTCGAAACATTTGCTATGATCAGAGTCATAGATATAGGACCAAAGGAGGTGGTGCTTCCTCCACAGGTAGTGCTGTAGTTACTTGAATGTAATGTGACTGCAATAGATCCATCTCACCAGATGATCTGTGTATGCGCGGGTTCCCGACAGCAGCGCTGCCGCCATCTTAGTTGGAGTACTCAGAGGGCTGCTGGAGTGGCTGCTTGCTGTGTGTTTCAAGTATTTTGGTGTTTAGGCACAAATCGTCAGTGGATAAGATGATTCAACGCTGTGAAAACCCGAGTCCAGACTTCCAGTGCATGTTACTGTATTTCAAGCTATACTGCATATCCTTGGGTTGAGGAAAAAGAAAGCAGTCGACAATGTTTGCATGTGGCCTGGTCATCTCGGCGTGTTGATGCGCTTGCGTCAATTCAGTGAATTCATATTAGTTATCAAAGAACAAGACTTTATTCCCTGTCGTCGTGTGAGCAAAAATTATCCTTGGTGAACCTCAGCACCCGAGCGATAGAAGATACAATATGCGGTAAAAGTTACAATATGAGAAAAATAAGTTCCTCAGACACTGCTATCCGAAAACGAGCAAAAAAACAAACTTATGGGACAAAAAAAAAAAACTTTTTGCACGTGTTTTTTGTC